AAAAAAAAAAAAAAAAAAAAAAGTTCACAGAAATCTTTCGATTTCGATATTCGCAAGTAATAATATCTTCGTATAAAATTTATCTGATCAAAGATTTATCCTGCTTCGTTATTTTTCTATATCGTGTCGAATAATTTTCTTTTTTTATTCTACTTTATTTTTTCCTTCCTCGAATTGAGAATTCCTATTATCCGTATTATTATTCGAGAGGAAAAATCTTAGAAAAAATGTTTTCTTCATATATAAAATTGCAAAGATATTTTCAACAAGTACGTGTTTTCCTTTTCTTCGAAACGTTAGTCATTGCTAGTATGTAGTTTATCTCTGGTTCTTCAAAAAGAAGATTTAAAGTACGAGATGTTCTTTTTTCGAAAGGAAAAAAGAAAAAAAAAAAAAGAAAGAAAAATAGCGGAAACACTTTCATGCTCGTGGAAAATATTTTTATCGTAATCATCCTACGTCGTTTTCTCCCTTTTTCCTTTTGCTCTCTTTATCTTTCCTTCCCCTTTGCCGATCTTTATATTAGTTTATCCCATAATTACATCTCAAGCGGAGAAAATTCCTCTCGTTAATGGACAAAGCGAAACAAGGCGTTAAAAACGAGAATAATTGAACAATATTTCACGTCATATCATCGAATTAAAAAAATAATAATACGAATAATTGAATAATAATATTGAATAATAAGATTGTCCATCCTTCTTTTTTTGAAAATATATCCTTATAAATATTTACATAAGGATTAAAATTAAAGGATTAAATAGCTGACAGAGTCCAATTTGAATGAAATGAAAATTATAAATGTATAAATAAATAAAGCATATTGTTATATAAGTACATTATTTAATTGAAATTCAAGAATGATTTCTCTCTCTGAAAAATTTAAATTATACAACTTTCCATTCCATTAATATGAAGCACGAGAAATTATCAAAAGCAATGAGAAAATCTGATGTGCATTAGAAGATAATCGAGCCTGAAAATTGAATTATTTACCGGCATGGGAATGATGCATTGTAATTCATGCGTCGATCATATTATCAATTATCAGAAAATCAAAATTTGCTCTAGATTCTGGGGAACATTGAGCAATTAACGATGAACAAAATTAACGCGAACGCTTTCGAAAAAAAAAAGATAAAATACATTTTTCCAATCTTTTTATTATACATCGTAAAAATATCTTTTTGGGACGAGTCGATGAAAGACAGAAACAATGGAAGATCTTGCAAGAACCAAATCGTCAAATAAATTTTAACACTCGAGATCAACATTCAAACGAATTCAAAAACAAAGATAAATTAATAAAGTGTCTTTTATAAACAACGACGAATGAACGACGAATCGTTGGTAAAAGAAATTGAAGAAGTAATAATGGAAGATCTCCAGGAAGCATGGGGTGTAATTTTTGATCAACTGTCGCGTGATGAATTGACGTGTTTTTAATTAAAAATCCGGGAGA